TCTTCCTTATTTGTAATGCCATTGTACAGCATTTGTGTAATTATCAAAAAAAGCATGGCAAAACTTGAAAGTTAAAACACAGAAATTATCAGCAATGTTCTGTACTTAAGAACGGTGGATTTAAATTCTAGGTTTATATTTTATATTTTAAGTTCTTTAAGGCAGCAGAAGTATTTGCATAATGCTAAACTATGATAAGATCTAACAAAATTGATATAACTTTAATTATATGTACAGCTTTACATACATTTTCTGGTCTTCGACCTGAAATATTAATCTATTGACTTAAATTCTGAAACCATTTCAGTATATCTGTAGTATCATATTTATCTTAATAAGCTCCTACCCACAAATTATATATATATATAGAAGACATATAATTATATATAAGCCCGCTTCTTCATTTTTGCATAATCATCAATTTGAAAAATTAGTTTACTGTTAAGAACTCCTAAAACTTTAATACTAAACTTTTACATGAGGTAAGAGGGATTATCTGAGGATAATTATGGTAACAGTCAGCATAATGCATAATCATATGACATTATTATTAATCCACACATCATATTAATACATAGGTATGAGGTAATCTTTCGAAAACTACACAAGATTTGCGACCCTTAGTGAGAAATCAGAACTTGGCAAGAATAGGTCGAAAACCACCATATAATTTATACTTCCTCTATACAAGGGACATCTGCACTAGGAATGTCATTTACATTGATTATTAGGAAAATATGCATCATAACTATTTATTTTAAGACAGGTAACAATTTTTTTTTTTACATTTACACAGGTATGAATGTAACGACAGCTTCATAAAAAAATTGTCACAGCACTATGAGGTTAAAAAGTTCATGGAAAAATCTACGGAATATAAAAATTTGAAAGTCCGTATAAAGAATTATATCTATATTCTAGTTAGAATCCATGTACATATCAGACATGTATTTTATTAAATTACAGAGCAGCTCAATGATCAAACCTGCCTAGAATTTTGAAGTACTTTTGAGGGAGAAAAACAGTTGAAATATATAACGTAGGTATACAAGGTTATCATTATTAGGATTACCATTGCAAACTACTATCTTTTTTCCATCTCATTTTAAACTTCATCTTGAAAGTTCAAACTGAATCAACAAATTTGTAGATAGTATTATGATAGCGTAGTACATAATTTTGGGTCAAATGTTCATGAATTGTGATAGTATGTTAGCTATGAGATTAATCAGTGTTCAGGTTTTGACAGGTATGCTTGACGAAGGATTGTAAGCTACAGGTTCAGCAGCTGATAAAGGTTGTTGTTATTGTCTCTAAGATAAGTTATCAGTGTACCTGTATCTACCTGGCTGCTCATCAGAAACACCTATATACAGGTACCTACACATGATAACATCATCCTAACTTATCTCAAGGGAGATAACTCACTTATACTCTAAAGTAGACAATCCTCAAATTTGATAAGTGCTATTGTAAAATCACATATTTTCATTGGCCTATAATTTCATTATTGTAAATTAAATAATATTTCTTCAACAGGCACTGCAGCTCAGATTGACTCTGCTAAATTTCAAGTTATTTACAAACTGTTTATAAATTTGACTTTGTTAATCAAGAGTAATCATGCAATTAGCGAAAATAAACCCAACACAAAAATTAATTATTCTAAAGTATATATCAGAAAAAGAGTTTGTGCCCAGCCAGAAAATTATTTATTGAAGAATGAAGATGTTCTGCTTTCAAAGTTATTTTTCATGTTTTAACATGGTAGCATTGACAATATCACATACACCAGTATACTGAAAAATTTGATAATACCTTTAATTGTCTATTTGTCTAATCACTAGACATTTCATTCCGTCTATCACCACAACTCAGCCAACCTGGTATAAAACATTTTAGCAAGCATAAATTATACTGACTGAACTGGAAATTTTATGTTAAAGTCGCTCTTTTATACTTTTCAAGTAAGCCGAGATAAGTCTTCATTACATTCTGAGTCAGAATCTTTTGTGAACTTATTACAAGACAATAAGACATGCAGGGGCCAACACATTACCTCTGACTCAGAATTTCGGATGGACTTATTACAAATCAATCTGGGGGCCAACACATTACCTCTGACTCAGAATTTCGGATGGACTTATTACAAATCAATCTGGGGGCCAGCAAATTCAGCCAAGAGGTGACATTTACACTTTATTTCTGACTTAGAGTCTTGCTTATTCATTACAGGACAATAAGACCAGAGAGGCCCATTATTACATCTGATTCAGATATATCTGACTTATTACAAAACCAGAAGACCAGGGAGAGGGGAAAGGCAACTCATAACTTCTGACTGTGTGTCAGTTTTATTTTTTTTAATAAAAGATCTGGAGACAATGAAATTCAATAATTTCTACAGAATAGGAAATCTAGATAGTCTTAACACCAGCTTCCTGCCAAGTAATTGTGGAAATGTAACTAAAAAAACAAACAGAAAAAAGGATTTAAAATGTAGTAATGTAACAAAGAAAATACTCCATGATCAGTTAAGGAGTTATGATACATTACTACAAAATATACCATCTGCGTAGTTATCTCCTCCTGGGAACCAAATTAGTTTCAGAGCTTTGAATTAATTGAAAAAAAAAAACCTGAACAGATCAATTTTCCTTGAATGCAACAATTACCAACAGTTGCTAAAGGAAAAATATTCCAGGAAAACTACATTGTATATTTATGTACTTAAAATTCATTGCTGGTGATGCTAAGTGATGAACTTGAAGACAAAATTACCTTCTTTGAAAAAAGAGCATCATCTATGATCAGGACCTTTTCTCCAAAAAATATTGAAAAGAAGTATAAACAGGAAAGTGATATTTCCTAAAACAAAAAAATTTAAAGATAAAAGTTTAACTTGAATTAAATGACCTGACAATGAATGCTAATCTGTCAAATACAGTATACTAGTTCAAATACAAGTGGGGTATACCAAATAATATTACTATTCAAAAAGTCTTACCTGCAGGAACAATTAACCATTTTTGTGTATAATCCCATTTCTTGAAGAGAGAAATTTTCAAAAATTGAAGATAATATCATTTTCCCAAGATGGTTTGTCATCAGATCCACTTTCATGTAAACACAGAAAAAATATTTTTGAAAATAATGTGCTTTTTCGGGCCAATATCACTTGTGTGTATTATTGGAGTGAAATATAATCTGAGAAACAATCGTTGTATTGAAGTTTAATAATACTTGTATATCTTTGTACATTGGACATGTACACCAGGTACGAACAGTACAAATTTCACAATTAGCAGTCCTGGTATAAAGTACAAAGATACCTGTATATCTATTGTGTGTGAGCCAAAGTTAATAACCCACCCCATCAAACAACCATCAACAGATTAGCAATATAATTCTATAACAATAACTCCCTTCAATCCATATATACAGCAATGTTTGTTTTAAAAAAAAATTGAAGATAAATAAAGGAACTGTTTTGTGTGACCTTCCAGATAAATTTCAGAACTCAGAGTTACCTCCCTTATACTATTATGAATTCCAAGAGCTGACCATCGAAGCTTGTCTGGTAATTCAATAAAGACTAACTTAAACTTTGTTAAAATGCAAAAAAAAAAAATTCATGAATGTTTGACTTATAATTTATTCATCATAAAAAATTTGAGAACCTAACCACGCATTAAAATTGCTAAGCTCTCATAATCAAGGATATTAATTGAAGATGTTCCACTTCATACTTTCAATAAGTTCAATTATTCGTTTGAAATATTATGCTTTGTGCAAATTACAAGGTGTATCAGATAAAAACTGTATTTGTTAGATATCTATATGAAAAAATGTTGATAATTTAAAACTTAAGCTGCAGATCCCTGATTAAAAGTGTTCCAATATGTAACATAAATTTGTAAAATGATCTTACTCAAACTGCATCATCTCCTTTTGAAGTTTAATATTCCAAAATTTACGCACAAAACATCACAATCAAATATACATACTAATGACAGGGGTAAGGGTGATTTCATCACAGTATCAGCTCTGTACATTGGAAATGTGTTGGTCTACAAACGTTCACTTCTAACACATCATGAGAAATAGAGAGTAGTTCACATGGTCATGCATAACAATATACTCATGTAGGATAGATTCTATATGTCTCTGTATCTAATATCGCCATTTTCTAATTAGAAACATTTTGCTATCGTCTTTTCATGATAGAAAAATAAAGGGAAAAAAATGAAAGTTCTGTCGTAATATAAGCTAAAATGTAAACATTTTTTTCATGGTTTCGTCCGTATACTGGTCCATATAATACAGTGATTATAATACTTTCCAGTACTGTCGCCTGGAGAACCTATTCTGGCACCAGTTTCACTGATCTTCCTTAACTTAAGGAAACTGTAACTATCATAAAAAAGTATTACGTAAGTTAAGGAAAAAGTTGAATTTAAAGAAATTTCTTGAACATATGTTATACTTCCTATAGGTAACTTAAGGAAGATTTATAAAACTGAGGCCTGGAATCTTAAATAGTGATTTAATGCTCTCGTTATCAAAGTTTAAACATATCTATCTCATATGCTCTTGTTTCCATTAAATGCCTTCCATTAATCCACTTGTCATTTCACTCAACCTCAGCTATAAATTATGAAAAGGTGCTATTCACTTGTGTGTCTTGTGTACGTTCTTTAAGCTGATCTTTCTGTTTCCAAACTTTTTTATCAATAGCTAGGAAGACACATCACATGTTATCCTATTCTATTTTCCAAATAAAACTAAAAAAATCGTCATTACATTGCAGCCATCTACTTTAACACAGAAACTAGAAATATGAAAAAGAGATCTCATTTTAAAAGTGTTATAACCATATGGTCTTGTATTTCCTTGTATATGAGATACAGTATTAATAAATAAACATGTCTTTGCCCTGATTTTTCTTGTTTTCTAAGAAGGAGAGCGACCTCCTCCTAGAGATTTTGGAGTCTCCTTACCTTTCTTGTCCTCAAAGAATGAGAGCAGTTCCTCTCTAAGACTTCTTTCTCCATCAAGGAGTTGTTGTTGGGGATGATGATGTTGATGATAACGGTCATACATCTGGTGATGAGGATGAGGGAAGCGATGATAAGATGGATGATTTGCTTCAGGCACCTGTGCGGTGTTATGATGATAATCACCATTATGAAATGTTTGTCCTTCATAAGCTGAATTTATCCACTTCATTTTGCCTGAATAAGGATAAGCTATCTGCTGTCCAGCATCTTTTGCAAACTTGCAGGATGACAATTCGGTCGTGTGACAAATGGTTTTAAGCTCCACCGAGTTTCCTTGCCGGCCGATTTGAGTGTAGGCATTCGCGGGGCTCGGCGTCATCAACCCCCTATCAAGCATCTTAGAATCAGCTGATTTGAATGGTACTTAAGAGTTGTCAATTGAAAACACTATAATGACTCGGTCGTCAATTCTCCAGCTTGGGTGACATCATTGACCCAGTTACTGCGGAGACACTTCAGTCTGCAAAGTTCATGTGTGTCTGACGCATCTACCACCAAGGCAAATGGTCACGAGATACCAACAAATCTAAAATGTCGACTACAGAAAAAACAACTCTTCCGTCCTTAACCTTATATCTCATATATCATGGTATTTCTGCTTTTGAAGCCAGTACACAAATGCAGTACATGAATTAAAATCTCTGTTACAAGTGGGTTACTAGGGCTGTGTGTGCCTAGTGATGAAAAAGTCCTGATTCTTTTATTTAGTGTTATGCACTTGCAGTGTCTCTGCGAACTTGAATAATTTCCGAAGGGAAATGAGTACAGAGCTGTTAAAAGATGATCACATCAAAGGTATTAGAGGACACAATAAGGCCAGTGTTTGATGCACCCTCCGTCTCCCCCGCAGTCAGGATATCACTGAAAGTCCATATAACCACATCACAAAACCAGAGAAAACCGCAGATCAGGATACTGGTTACATCATTTTCTTACTAAAATGTTATACTTTCTGAAAGCAGATTTTATGTAATGATTCCTATTCTGAAAGTAGACTTTTTGTAATTATTCCAACAGTTGTGGACATCCAAACGCATCTGACACCTAGATAGAGAAAATACGTAATAACTTCTAGTTAAATACATTTGATTGTTTCCTGAAAACTTGTGGCATGGTTCCAGCTATCCCACTACAGCACTTGATCTCTCGTCAAACCTTAAACCAAACACCTCAAATCTGTAAAATATACAAGTGTCGGTGATGACAGCCACAGGAAGGCTTAGTTGTCATCACATCTCTAATACCAACAAATCACCACAGCACACAAGGCCCCAAAGCACAAAATGTCACACTTAAGCTTTCAAGGAAACAAAATATATTGCAAAAAAAAAAATATTCATCAAAATTAAGCTGATATAACATTTAAGAAAGAAATGATATAAGCTGCAGTAAATTCTAACAAAGATTTTGATGACAATATAACTGGTATTCAGTGATGCTATTTTGCCAGATATATAGGTGAGTTACCTAGAAGACTATAATTCAGTTTTAAAAACTGAAAATATGGTAAGATGAAATATGATTTCTGTGACTTTACTGTCACCTTATTATACTCACATCTGATTTGATATATCTACAACTGACTTCACTGATACCTGACTTTTATATTGACACCTGACTACACAAACACCTGACTTTTATATTGACACCTGACTACACAGACACCTGACTTTTATATTGACACCTGACTACACAAACACCTGACTTTCATATTGACACCTGACTACACAAACACCTGACTTTCATATTGACACCTGACTACAGATACCTGACTTTACCAACACATGATATCATCATCACCTTATATCCCTTACTAAGTTATACCTAAACCTGAGTTTACTGACACCTTACTTTACTGACCTGTCTTTAGTGTCCTCTGACTTTACTGACACCTTACTTTACTGACCTGTCTTTATCAACCTCTGACTTCACTGATACCTGTCTTTATCATCCTCTGACTTTACTGACACCTGTCTTTATCACTTTATCATCCTCTGACTTCACTGACACCTGTCTTTATCACTTTATCATCCTCTGACTTCACTGACACCTGTCTTTATCATCCTCTGACTTCACTGACACCTGTCTTTATCACTTTATCATCCTCTGACTTCACTGACACCTGTCTTTATCATCCTCTGACTTCACTGACACCTGTCTTTATCATCCTCTGACTTCACTGACACCTGTCTTTACTGTCCTCCGACTTTACAAAACTCCCTAACAGTCATAAATCAAGGAGATGACACCAGTCTTTACTATCCTCCGACGTTACAAAACTCCCTAACACTTACAAATCAAGGAGATGACACCAGTCTTTACTGTCCTCCGACTTTACAAAGCTCCCTAACAGTCATAAATCAAGGAGATGACACCAGTCTTTACTGTCCTCCGACTTTACAAGACTCCCTAACACTTACAAATCAAGGAGATGACACCAGTCTTTACTGTCCTCCGACTTTACAAAACTCCCTAACACTTACAAATCAAGGAGATGACACCAGTCTTTACTGTCCTCCGACTTTACAAAACTCCCTAACACTTACAAATCAAGGAGATGACACCAGTCTTTACTGTCCTCCGACTTTACAAAACTCCCTAACACTTACAAATCAAGGAGATGACACCAGTCTTCACTGTCCTCCGACTTTACAAAACTCCCTAACAGTTACAAATCAAGGAGATGACACCAGTCTTTACTGTCCTCCGACTTTACAAAACTCCCTAACAGTCATAAATCAAGGAGATGACACCAGTCTTTACTGTCCTCCGACTTTACAAAACTCCCTAACACTTACAAATCAAGGAGATTGTTCCATAATATTAACTATCATCAATAACTCTTCTGCTTTAATTGCCTCTGATCATATATTTCCCTGTCTCCAGTTTCATGAATTTCCTCACCTTATGGAATTTTCCTTTATATAAAATTTCCCATAGGAATGCATTACACAAGTTATGGAAAGCCCCTTTACTTTAAGTTTTTTCCATCACTGACGTAATACTTTTTCCATGATAGTTCAGAAAAGATTCCTGAATCTTGGGTCAAATATTCCCTACCATACAAAAGCATTACATACACATAAAGTTCAGGAAATACTTAAATCAAAGGAAATTTTCTTAACTTCTATAATGCTTTTTATGGGGAATCGTAAATTACAGAAAACTCCTTAAGTAAAGGCAGGTCAATTCATGAGACCAGGGGCCTGGTACAAAAGGAAAGATTAATTTTTACAATACATGTAAATTGCTAAGTCTTTTTTTCTTTTTTCTGTTAGATATTATTGTCTAGTGTCTCTTACTAATACCACCCGAGCTGTAAAGGAAGCCAGTTCTCAACAGAAATATAAGTGTTCTTCACTTCAGTCGAAGACAATTGACAATTAAGTTGTTACAACATACGTATTTGAACTGTTGTGTTTTAATGAAGAGTGTGATTGTTACAAATACATGATTTCAACATGACTAGTATCACAAAAATAATCTGGTTTCACCACAAGAATCATAATAAGCAGTGCCATCTTCAATATTAAAAGTTTTCCTGTAATTACTTAAATATACAGGAAGTATGTAGCAGGGGTTTTGTTGGGAAACCATGAGATTACACTCGGACTCAACAAACATCTTTTAAATACTATAATCTGTCAAGCCATGTCGACAGTTGAATGTACTCAGATAATCTGATATAGAACGTTTTACCTATTGGCAGTATACAGAATTGTTCACCAGTAATTCAGTCACATTAGTCATACACAGCAGCATTTAATGGTTAAATATGTCATAAATTCTCAGAAAATATTTTAAGTTTGAAAAAAATTTTTTTTTTTTATAAATTTGAGCAAAAATTATATGAACAACTTGTTTCAGACTCAGACTACAACACTGAGGTATGTTTGTTTTTGCTGATTCAGCGTTGTTACTGACCGACCAGTTTGTAAATGTTACCACTACAGGGTCAGTGACCTGCAGTTTTAAGTGACCACTGATATAAAAGTGACAAGTACAACCAATTAGTGGTATATTACAATATTAAGTATATATAAACAGAAAGTGTACTAGGACAATACCCTGTATAGTGTACTGTCCTTAAACAAGATTGATAAAACAATGGAATTTATTTTCTGCAAACAATAACCGTCTAACAAATATAAACTATCATTACTTACAAGATATATATGCATGAAATAAATAGTTTTGAATAGTCTCCCGAATGGAATATTTGAGTTCACTGTTTGACTGATGCACCTTATGGTTTTTCCTTAGCTTTTTGATTTTTTTTGTTTTATATAAAGTTCCTTAAATAGTAAGACCTCCTCTCATGTGTGTTAATCTGGGCAAATAGGAGTGAATGATACATGTATATGCTACAAGCTTGTTTTGCAATCATTATGCAATGCATAAATTTCCTATATCATGTCTAGTTGAGAACCCTGAACATTTTAGCAATGAACCTGTATCGGATCACAGTGTTGATCACATTTTCCAAGTCATGTTTTTTATTTGATAATACACTATATAATGTAACTATTGTATCCGTGTAACCAAAAAATGTCACTTCAGAGCTAATTTTTTTTTAATCGTCCTGATAATTTCTGTTTATAACTTAACTGAAACAAGTTTACTATGTTCCAACCAATATACAAGAACGATTCTTTGACATTGAGATTTTTTTTTAAATCATGCTTAGTCTTAACATTAACAAACCTATCAAATAGTGATGTCCAGTTACAATATCATTATTACTATCATAACATTCTTAACGGCCTGTCAACACAGAAAAGGTCATTCGGGTCATCAACCGGTAAAATACACAGCAATCCAAAAGTGTATACAATACTTGTATAGACTTCAAATATTTAATTTAATGTTGTTATTTGCAATCAACTGGAATACAGAATGATGTTCAAAATGTGTTGTGGACAAAGCTTGAGCTGTCTGACCAGGTCTTCATGGGTACTTATGCAAATAATTACAAATCCAGCTTAGTCCCAAGTAATTACAAATCCAGCTTAGTCCCAAATAATTACAAATCCATCTTAGTCCCAAATAATTACAAATCCATCTTAGTCCCAAATAATTACAAATCCATCTTAGTCCCAAATAATTACAAATCCATCTTAGTCCCAAATAATTACAAATCCATCTTAGTCCCAAATAATTACAAATCCATCTTAGTCCCAAATAATTACAAATCCAGCTCAGTCCCCAAAATGTTAAAACATATCATAGGACTGATTACTGCAGCTGTAGACAAGAAATAATAATAGCTATTTTAACAAAATATTTCATCTTGTAATCTTTTATGACATCTATTGAAGGGTCGCAGTGAATGTTATA